TAAGTCTTCACCTGAAGTACAATAAAATATTAAAAAAAAAAAAAAATGTGATAAAGTCATTTTTCATTGATAAAACTAATGATCTTTAACATTTGTGAACTGGGTGGAGATATTAATCAAGTACCAGTGCCTTTGCATAAACAAGGTTTAAGAACCTAGCAGCCTTTGGAGTAGTAACCAGAGGCCCAGATTCATCTTGGTCTTGAAACGAGCCACAAAAGAGGATTCTGGTACCTGATTAAAACCTAGCTGGATTCTATCAGAAAATTGTCACATCTATCTTAACTAGACCTTCTTGCAAGGTGCTTTAGAGTTCTTAAAAAGCCAAGGAGCTGGGACTTTATCAAGCTTAAGAAAAACAGTTGTATGACTATTCATATGCCACTTGCTATAAATCTGGGCAGTTGTCACATGAAGCAGCCTGACCCATACCTTCATTGGAACATCCAACCTGTTACTGGGTACTGAGGCAGGGCCTGTATTCTTCTTCTCCTTTAACTATTGTGGACTGCTGAGATCTGCCAGAAGAATCTAATAATTGTGGTGGCACAAATTGACTTATTTTACAGCAAAGAGATAAATTTAACGAAAGAGAAATAGACTTCCAGAATATTTTAAGGTGAGAAAAAGATATTTTAAATGCAAACCACATAATGTTGGATAAAGAAAGTCATTGTGTACTAATGAAAATCAAAGCCATTTCAGTCAAGTAGATTCTGACTCATAGCCATCCTATGGGGCAGAGTAGAACTGCCCTATAGGGTTTCCAAGGCTGTAATCTTTATAGAAGCAGGCTGCCACATCTTTCTCCCACGGAGCAGCAACCTTTTGGTTGACAGTTGAGTGCTCAACCATTGCACCACCAGGGCTTCTTATTAATGAACCAAAACCGAACCAAACCCATTGCCTTTGAGTTGATTCCAATTCATAGCGACCCTGTAGGACAGAGTAGAACTGTCCCATAAAGTTTCCTAGGCTGTAATCTTTATGAGAGCAGATCATCAGGTCTTTTCTAGTGCAGAGCAACCGGTAGGTTTGAATTGCAGACTTTTCAGTCAGCAGCCGAGCACTTAACCATTGTGCCACCAGGGCTCCTTAAAGTGTCAGAGAGGGATCCCAAATCAGATTTTCTCCCCCCAAAATGTATGCTATTAAGCACTATGTTGTACTGTTTTGTATGTTTATATTTATTGAGGCCTCATATTTTTAAATTGGTACTCAAGATACAAGTAAATAAGACCAGACACAGTCCTTGCCCTCATGGAACATGCATTCTGACCTTAAACTAGAATTCACACAAATAACTGCAAAAATGCAATTGTGGTAGTGTAAAGAAAGAATACAGGCAGCTATGAGAACATTTAACATGGAGACCTAACCCAGAGCGGCAAAGGGTAGAGAAATGATGAGAGAAAGCTCCCTGGAGGAAGAGACCAGAGGCTAGGTGGTCAAAAAACCTCCAAAATAAACAGATGTTGCAGATCAGGAAGGTGGCCATGGGCAGCCTGTCACATAATTAAACAGAATTCTTAACACAAATGCAACCCCTTACTATTATATATAAGTTAGTAGGTAAAATAATTCGTATTGACAGTGAATTCCTCACACCACAAAAAGATCATAGTCTCCTTATGTAGCACCTTATTAAGTGTTTGTTTACAAATCATTAAATTCTTAAAGAAGGAGAACCAAAAAGCTGATGGGTTTCATAAGCACCTGCTGCTTAAGCATCAGCCAGAAATTGAAATAAAGCTAGTCTCAATGATCATATTTAAATTACTGAAAATTTCTGGTACTTTTATTTTCATTTTAGCTGACAGGAAGTTATAATACTGAATCCTTGTTTTAATTTCAGATGTGCTTTTCATGTGTTGAATCATTCACAACAACCCAAAGAGATGCAAACTATTACTCACTCCCTTTTATTGTTGAGAAATCTGATGAGTAAAGATGTAAAATAACTTGCCAAAGCTCACACATCTAGTAAGCGGCAAAACTGGAATTCATATCCCACGATTCAAACCCAGATGCTGACCCATATTCTGGCTCTTAACATTGTGTTATGTAGGCTGTTAGGTTGTGTGCTAATATATTTAGAAAATATCCATATACCTATGAAATATGTATATGTTCACATATATTTAAATTATTGATATTTTCTTATGCGGAAGTAGAAAAATAGAAAATAACAGAAGAAAAACTTGATAAAGCCATAAAAAAAATTCCCTGCTGAATGTTCTGGCAACAAAATGTCTTACTGGTAAATTCTCTCAAATGTTTTGTTGTTGTTATTAGGTGCTGTTGAATCAGTTCCGACTCATATTGTTCGAGGATTTCTGCATTTCAAACATTTAAGGAACAGATAATTTGTATGCCACATCCAGCATTCCACAGTCTGTGAGCGAGCTAGGATATGCTCCTGTGTCATTCCAAAAAACAAACACCGTCCTGAAACCCAAACAGGTAAAGATGACAGAAAATAATAAACTACATCCACCTTACTTTTGAATATGGATGTAAATATTTTCAAAACAGCATTTTAGGGAGTATAAGCTAAATAAAGAAATGATATGGTTGTTGTTAGGTGCCATCGAGTCGGTCCCAACGCATAGCGACCTTATGTACAACAGAACTAAACTTAGCCCAGTCCTGTGCCATCCTCACAATCGTTATGCTTGAGCCCATTGTTGCAGCCACTGTGTCAATCCATCTCGTCGAGGATCATCCTCTTTTTCGCTGACCCTCTACTTTACCAAGCATGCTGTCCTCCAAGGACCAGTCCCTCCTGATAACATGTCCAAGTATGCTAGGCGAAGTCTCGCCATCCTTGCTTCTAAGACACATTCTGGCTGTACTTCTTCCAAGACAGATTTGTTAGCTCTTCTGGCAGTCCATGGTATATTCAATATTCTTTGCCAACACCATAATTCAAAAGTGTCAGTTCTTTTCCTGTCTTCCTTATTCATTATCCAGCTTTCACATGCATATGAGGCAATTGAAAACACCATGGCTTGGGTCAGGTGCACCTTAGTCCTTGAAGTGACATCTTTGCTTTTTAACACTTTAAAGAGTTCTTTTGCAGCAGATTTGCCCAATGCGATACATTATTTGATTTCCTGACTGCTGCTTCCATGGGCATTGATTGTGGATCCAAGTAAAATGAAAATCCTTGACAACTTCAATATTTTCTCTGTTCAACATGATGTTGCTTATTGGTCCAGTTGTGAGGATTTTTGTTTTCTTTATGTTGAGGTGTAATCTGTACCAAAGGCTGTAGTCTTTGATCTTCATCAGTAAGTGCTTTAAGTACTCTTTACTTTAAGCAAGCAAGGTTGTGTCATCTGCATAACACAGGTTGTTAATGAGTCTTCCTCCAATCCTGATGGCCCATTCCTCTTCATATAGTCCGGCTTCTCAGATTATTGCTTCAGCTCTTTTACTTCATCATTTCTTCCTTTCACTTTACCTACTTGACGTTCAAGAGCAAGTTTCAGAGTCTCTTCTGATAGCCATTTTGGTCTCTTTTTTTCTTTCCTGTCTTTTTAATGACCTCTTGCTTTCTTCATGTATGATGTCCTTGATGTCATTCCACAACTGATCTGGTCTTTGGTCATTAGTGTTCAATGTGTCAAATCTGTTCTTGAGATGGTCTCTAAATTCAGGTGGGATATACTCAAGGTCATACTTTGGCTTTCGTGGACTTGTTCTAATTTTTTTCAGTTTCAATTTCAACTTGCATGTGAGCAATTGATGGTCTGTTCCGTAGTCAATCCCTGGCCTTGTTCTGACTGATGATATTGAGCTTTTCCATTGTCTCTTTCAACAGATGTGGTCAGTTTGATTCCTGAGTGTTCCATCTGGCAAGGTCCACCTGTATAGTTGCCATTTATGGCGTTGAAAAAAGGTATTTGCAATGAAGAAGTCATTGGTCTTGCAAAATTCTATCATGCGAATCTCTGGGATTGTTTCTATCACCAAGGTCATATTTTCCAACTACCAATCCTTCTTCTTTGTTTCCAACTTTCCCATTCCAATCACCAGTAATTATCAAAGCATCTTGATTGCATGTTTGATCAATTTCAGACTGTAGAAGTTGGTAAAAATCTTCAGTTTCTTCATCTTTGGCCTTAGTGGTTGGTGTGTAAATTTGAATAATAGTGGTATTAACTGGTCATCTTTGTAGGCATATGGATATTATCCTATCACTGACAGCACTGCAGTTCAGGATAGATCTTGAAATGTTCTTTTTGACAATGAATGCAATGCCATTCCTCTTAAATTTGTCATTCCTGGCATAGTAGATCATATGATTGTCTGATTCAAAATGGCCAATACCAGTCTATTTCGGCTCACTAATGCCTAGGATATCGATGTTTATGTGCTCCATTTCATTTTTTGATGATCTGAAATTTTCCTAGATTCATACTTCATACATTCTAGGTTCCAATTATTAATGGATGTTTGCAGCTGTTTCTTCTCATTTTGAGTTGTGCCACATCAGCAAATGAAGGTCCAAAAGCTTGACTCCACCCACGTCATTAAGGTCAGTGCTACTTTGAGGAAGCAGCTCTTCCCCAGTTGTATTTTGAGTGCCTTCCAACCTGAGGGGCTCTTCATCCATCACTATATCAGACACTGTTCTACTGCTATTCATAAGGCTTTCAGTGGCTAATTTTTTTCAGAAGTAGACTGCCAAGTCATTTTTCCTAGTCTGTCTTAGTTTGGAAGCTCAGCTGAAACCTGTCCACCATGGGTGACCCTGCTGGTATTTAAATACTGGTGGCATAGCTTCCAGCATCATAGCATCACGCAAACCCACAGTAAAACAATCTGACAGATGCATGGGGAAAGAAATGATATACTACAGACAAAATATTTTGACCTAGATTGAAAACACGGTTAAGTATTACCATCTCAATTAATCAGTATATCAATATCATATAATTACATTAGTAGGCAAAATAAGAGAAAATGTCTCAGTAGACGTCTTAGATTGCATTTATTTGTATATTCATTCATTCATTCATGTATTCATTCATTCATTCAATAAGTATTTGGGATACATCCATGCATAAAGCTAGGATACTGTCTCAGTCATCTAGTTCTGCTCTAACAGAGATACCACAAGTGGATGGATTTAACAAAGAGAAGTTTATTCTCTCATAGTCCGGTAGGCTACAAGTCCAAATTCAGGGTGTCAGCTCCAAGGGAACACTTTCTCTGTTGGCTCTGGAGGAAAGCCCATGTCATCAATCTTCCCTTGGTCTGGGAGCTTTTCTGCACAGGAACCTCAAGTCCAAAGGACACGTTCTGCTCCCGGCACTGCTTTCTTGATGGTATGAGGTTCCCATGTATCTCTGCTTGCTTTTCTCCTTTATATCTCAAAAGAGATTGCATTAAGATACTATCTAATCTTGTCAACCTTCTCAGTATAACCTCATCACAGTGACAGAATTTACAACACAAAAGGAGATCACATATAATCTCATCATAGTGATAGAATTTACAACACATAAGGAAATCACATCAGATTACACAATCATACGTTGTTGGAAATCATGACCTAGCCAAGTTGCTACACACATTTTTGGGGGGACACAATTCAATCCATGACAGATACCTATTCTTAAGGCATTTAACTTCTAGTAGAGAGAGACAAACAAAAATAAACTCATATCATTAAATCATGTTGTATATTAGAACATTGATTAATTGTATTAAAAAAGGGAGCAGGGTAAGGAAGATTAGGAGCATTGGGTGGAGTGGGAGAGCTAGTTGTAATTTCAAATAAGGTGGTAACAATAGGCCTCATTGAGAATGTGATGTTTGAGCAAACATTTGAAGTAAGTGAGAGTCAACTCTACAGACACCCTGGGGAGTCAATTCTAGGTAGAGGGAATAGCCAGTACCAAAGTCCAAAGGGGGAGTTTACTTGGAATGTCTGAGAAACAGCAAGGAGGCCAGTGTGTCTACAGTGGAGTGAGCTAAGGAGAGGGTAGAAGGCAAAGAGGTCGGGGGGGTGCCTGGTGGAAAAGTGTAGAATATGTGGAGACTTGTAGGCCTTCGTTTTAAGAGCTTTGCCTTTCATCTTGCACATCATGGAGAGCCATCATCATTGGGTTTTGAGCAGATAAGTCATATCTGAGCAATACTCTAAAAGAATCCCTCTGGCTATTCTTGAGAATATACTGTAGGGGAGCAGAGGAATCAGACAGGAGATAGCCAAGTAATTTGGGTAAGACACAAGAGTAGAGATAATGAGAGCAGGTCAGATTCTAGGTATATTTTAAAACTGTATGTGATCATTAAGGTTGTGTATCATCTTGGCTAGGGCATGATTCTCAGAGGTTTGGCAGTTATGATGTAGTTTGGCAGTTGTATGATGATGTAATCACTTCCATGATGAGATTTGATGTAATGTGATCACCTCTGTGATGGAATTTGCTATGAGTAGCCAATTAGTTGAAAAGGAGTTTCCTTGATGTGGCCTGCATCCAATACAGGTGGACCTTCTGGCAAGGCTTGTGGGCTTTTGCTCTCTCTGGATCCTGCAGCTGGCTCCTGTTCGTGTGACCTGTTGTTCTTGGGACATGAGCTAGCAGCTTACCTGCCATCTTGCCTACCAATCTTGGGTTCACAGCCCCTGTGGCTACGTGAATCAAGAGAAGCCTCCAGCCTGACCCATGTACTTGGGACGTTCCAGCTTCTACAACCACATGAGCCATTTGCTTGATAAAAAAATATCTCTCTGTATATGTTTATACACTTTACGTGTTTTGCTTCTCTAGAGAACTCAGCCTAAGACAGTATAGTTAATAAGATGCCATTGCATTGGATGTAGGGTATGAGAGAAAGAATGAAATCAAGAATGTCTGCAAGAATTTTACATGAACAACTGGAAGGGGAAGACTGCTGGTGGCACAGGCTCAGGTGCAGGGGGAAGGGAGAGGATCAGACTCGCATAAAATACAGTGAATTTCAGAAATTCTCCTATGCATTGAAGTGAACGTGTCAAATAGGCAAGTCTGGGGTATAGGTGAGAGTTCTGGGCTAGAGGTATTAATTTGGGATTCATCTGCATAAGGATGGCATTTAATGCCCTTAGATAGGAAAGACCACCAAGGGAGTGAGTATCGTTAGAGAAGAGACTCAGCACAGACTGAGCCTTATGACAGTCCAACATTAAGAAGCAATGGAGTAATGGAGAAACCATCAAAGGAGACTGAAAAAGGGGGACTAGTGAAGTTATATTTAGCAAAATTAAACTGTGAGCTCTAGCTTTATCTTCACAGGTGATACAGTTTATTACAACAGCGATGCAGAAGCAAGGGGGTGCTACATACACTTGTGGGTACTCTTCTTCTAGGCTTTTTCCCACTATTCACTCTTGAAAGTCATGCCAGAGCCTGAAACTACACTGACATCTATGAAACTTGTATCCACTGGTCTCTTTTGTAAGA